TGGGCACACGGGGGAATTGTGGGAAGACATTTGAGGATTACCAGCACTCAAATGGTTTAGCCTGAGTACTTGCTGCAAAGTGGGTGGGTTACCAGCCTGAGAGAAAGCCGTACCTCACCTGTAGCCGATAACCATGAACAGACCAGCTAGCCCTGTTTGAAAGCACCATCACACTGGATGGAGTGAGGAGGGTTTTGTGTGTGGATGGGAGTCAGGTTGGAACCAGCATCTGAGTAAGAGCCCAAGTTACCTCTGCAGCAAAGACATACTCATAGGGCCTGCAGTATGGAGCGAGTCTGTCATGAGACCTCCTCCTGGTGGAACTCAGCCATCCTCCAGGAGAACAAGGGTTTGGAGACAGCCATGCTTTAGCTGGTTTTCCTCTTCAAACCTCTTAGGAATGTTTCCTTCTGTGTCATAACTATAAACCTTCCTGTATACAGTACTATAAAACCCCTCCTGGCCAGAGGCACCAAAATCCTTTTACCTGTAAAAGCTCAGGTAACCTGGCTGACACCTGACCCAAAGGACCAATAAGGGGACAAGATACTTTCAAATCTGGGGGGTGGTGGAGGCTTTTGTTTTTGCTCTTTGTTTTGGTGGTTGTTCGCTCTTGGGACTAAGAGGGACCGGACATCAATCCAGGCTCTCCAAATCTTTCTGAACAAGTCTCTCATATTTCAAACTTGTAAGTAACAGCCAGGCAAGGCGTATTAGTTTATCTTTGTTTTCTCAATTTGTGAATGTTCCCTTTGCTAGAGGGAAGTTTATCCCTGTTTTGCTGTAACTTTGAAACTAAGGCTAGAGGGGGATCCTCTGAGCTCTTTGAATCTGATTACCCTGTAAAGTTATTTTCCATCCTGATTTTACAGAGATGATTTTTACCTTTTCTTTTTAATAAAATCCTTCGTTTAAGAACCTGACTGATTTTTCCATTGTCCAAGACCCAGGGGCTTGGGTCTTTGATCACTTTGTAACCAATTGGTTAGGATATTATTCTCAAGCCTCCCCAGGAAAGGGGGTATAAGGGCTTGGGGGGATATTTTGGGGGAAGAGGAACTCCAAGTGGCCCGTTCTCTGTTTCTTGTTAAATCACTTGGTGGTGGCAGCATACCAGGTTTTAACCTAAACTGGTAGAAATAAGCTTAGGGCGCTTTCATGAGGGTCCCCATATCTGTACCCTAGAGTTCAGAGTGGGGAGGGAACCCTGACAGTCTGCAACTCTCAGTTCTGATTTCCAGCCCAAACACTCCATTCCTTTGCAGGAAGGAAACCCCACACAGCTTCCCTAATCCTGCAGAATGGTGAGTCGGCAGAGTTTGATGTGCTTTTCAAACCCATCCTGGCCCAGCGGGTGGAAGGGAAAATCCATCTGTCAGTGGTGGACAATCAGTATGAGGAAACCTGCATTCAGATGGTGGGAGAGGGCTACCAAGACGATATCACGCTGGATAACATCCATGGGCTGGTAGCAGAGAGCAACGAGGAGAATGCAGAGGGGCAGCTGGAGGAGGACAGAGTGGAGGGTAAGAGGCATTGTTGAGAATAATTTGGCCCCTTTGAGGTTTTTAGAAGGTAAATCAGGATTTTGGATTGAGCCTGCTGCTGCTGAAGTAACCATCTGAAATTGTGAAATTGACCAATTTTAAAACCCTCTGCCATGAAATTGATCAAAACGGACAGTGAATTTGGTAGGGCCCTACTTATTGTGCCCTCTCTACAGCTGGGTTTGTGTGTCTCTGTTACACAGGACACCTGAGCGTATGTCCTCCAAGTGGAAAGGTGTGTTTCAGGCTGTAATGTATTGTGGAGGCCTTTTGATTTCAGTGAGTGGAGAGGTGCATGTGTCCGTGAATGAGAGCTGGATGCACTGCTTGAGGAGGGGCTGCTCTAAGAGCCCTCTCTGGTTGAAGTAGGCGTGTATGTGCCAATGGATGGGAAGGGAGTCACATGTATGAGAGGAAGAGTGCTGTGCGAGTCGTCACTGCCCTACAAGTGCTATAACCAAATCAGTGAGCATCCCCATTTTCATTCTTCCTAGCTGCCAGAGAAGATCACATCCAGTTTGGGGACTGTCACATCGGGAGGCCCTACCAGGTGACCTTCACGATAACCAATCGCAGCAAAGCAGACGTGATGAGGTTTGAATGGCCTGCTGCGGCTTCGCTTGTCTTCTCTCCCCAGGTATACAGGGACCACTTTGTTTTATCCCATGCACAAGAGGTTGCTCAGCAAGTGATGTGTAGTTAGCAGAGCACTGACCCAGAGCTAGGTGGCAGTGCCCTGGCTGCCATGCAGGTGCTCCAGTTTGTGTCTTGGGTCAGTTCTCTGAATCCTTGGACTTGCAAAGGTGGGAGGCAGAACTGTCAGCCCTCGTGGGGGAGTCATGGGATCCCACCCTGCTGGGAAACTGCTCTTGCTCCCTGAGGGCTTTCGGTTGCAGAATTCCACTGGGTTCAGAATGGCCATTCCCTTTTTAAAGTAAGGTGTAATAGGCCTGCACCTTCCTGGAGCGCCCTCCTGCAGGGATGCCTGCCTCAGTTTCCCTCCACCAGAGTCCCCAGAAATAGCCCAAACAGTCTTTCTTACTACAAATAGCCCTATGGGGTTAATTTATTACAAACATCCCCTGCACATAACCATAACAGTACCTCGAGGAGAGCCCTGCCGCCCTCACTCTGCCCCTGTTCACCGGTCTGACTCTGGCGCCCCTCACCACACTTCACTCCCAGCCTTCAACCCCCTCTAGCCTGCTGCCTTCAGCTCTCCAGCTTAGAACGCTAGCAAGTGTCTCCCTCTGCTGCTCTCAGCCTTCAGCCCCCTCTGGCTGTCTCTGGCTTGGCTCTCTGGCTCAGGACGGTCTGCCAGCTAGCCCCTCTGCTGCCTCCCAAGCCCTCAGCCCTTTTCAACCTCCTGGCACTGGCTTGGGCTCTTGAAAGTCAGTCGACTTCCTGGGGATACCTCCCTCTTTCCACAGAGGGCCTGCAGGAGGCTCGCTACAGCTGGCCCCAGAGACCTCTCTGGCCTCCTGACTCACCGGCTCTCCCTAGTCCTTTATAACCCCCCAGGTGCCACTCCACTCTCTTCATTGCCCAAACTGAGAACGGCTGTTCTGGGACAGGTGAGCTGAACCTCCTTCATTTACGGGGCCAGAAACCCTGTGACATGAGGCCACTGAGTGAGACTGAATTGCTATAGGTTCCGGTGTCATCTGTATGCTGATATCACTGCTCTACAGTCAAAATGCTTCTGAAATAAATGTAGTCAAACTTTACTAATTCTGGGTCACTGAGAACGAAAATGATGCTTAAAATTGTTGATTGGCTCTAGTTTTCAAGATATGCTATTGGGTCAGTATATACGACCCTTGACTTGGGAATGGCAGAAGATAAGTGAGTTATAAAGGGAAGGGATCTCAATTTAAACCAGAAATGACTAAAATACATCTTTGACTGGATCTATGAATAAATCTATGACTGGGTTTGGACAGTACTTGCTTTTTAGGCAAAACAATGAATGATGCAATCTGAAGCTGGTATTACATCGTACATTATATGAATTGCATCATTATTATTCCTAGAAGTCATGGATGATGCAATCATAACAAAGCTTATATCACTCTGCTGAACAAATTGCCCTATATCAGCTCTAGAAATCATAGAGTGTCTTGCTCTCTTATTTGTCAGTGTTTGATTTTGCAAAGGGACACATTTCTGTTTAGCCAAAGTGAGCAGAGATGCCTCGTACTTGTATGAACAGTGCAGATAACTTCTGCTATGTTTGTGGTGAAGTGACTTTTGCATCACAAAAGCGCAGTATAACTACTATGGTTAAGAAAGCCCATCACCTTTATTTTGGCTGCAAAATTGGAGATCGGGACAAGAGGTGGGCCCCACACATATGCTGCAACACTTGTGCAACAAATCTTCGCCAGTGGTTGAACAGGAAAAGGAAATCTATGCCTTTTGCAGTGCCAATGATTTGGAGAGAGCCAACAGATCATACCAGCAATTGTTACTTCTGCATGGTGCCTCCAATTGGGAAAGGTGTGTCAGAGAAGAAAAAGTGGACTGTGCATTATCCAAACATTCCATCAGCTATACGCCCAGTACCTCACAGAGAAGGACTGCCGGTTCCTGATGCACCAGAATCATTCTCACATGACTCAGATGAGGAAGAGGATGAAACTTCTGGTCCTGATCCATCAATGTCACAGGACCCACATTTTCTCCCATCCTCCTCCTCTGAACCACACCTCATAACACAAGGTGAACGGAATGACCTTGTCAGGGATTTGGAACTACCCAAGAGCAAGGCAGAGCTGTTGGGCTCCAGACTACAGCAGTGGAATCTCCTGGTAGGTGATGTTAGGGTTTCCATGTTCCATGACCGTCAAAAGGATCTTGTCCCATTCTTCTTCATAGAAGGTGATCTTGTAGCCTGCAACAACATCGATGGTGTGATGGCAGCCCT